GCGATGAGTTCAGTAGACGCCGCGTAGCAGAAAGATTACGTAACTTAGAAGACGAAAGATTGGCCCGCATCGAAGCAGCTTCCAGTAATAGAAAGGCACTTCGTTCGCAAATCAGTCGTATTCGAGAAACTATCGATCCAGTACTCAACGATGATACTACACTGGCCGATAAAATTAAAACATTGTTCAGAGAACAGGGAATAACCATTGTCAGTATTTTAACCGCGTTGGGATTTATTATATCGACTTTGACTCTCTCGTTAACAGGTGGCAGTACAGGTGGTGGTACACCGCCTAACGATAAAAATGGTATAAAAGAGTGGATAAAAAAGCATTTAAAAGCATTAGGTTCAGCACTGGGAAAGCTCGCTGAGAAAGCCGCGGCTGCACTTCCCGGTATAATAGGGAGTGTTGTTTCCTGGCTATTGAATTTATTAGCTAAGACCACCACTTGGCTTAGTCAAAACTTGTGGGGGTTGATCGTAGCAATTGCAGGGCTGTTGTACGTGTTCGCTAAGAACTATTTAACCACCAAATCAGTTCGCTAACCAAATCATGAGTAAGCCAACCGAGACTCCACCCACTACAAGCGCTGTTTTTTCATCGATATGTTGTTGATTTTTAGCCTCAATATGCGGTGGTACTTGTGCGTGTGCATTAGTAGATGGTTGTGCATTAGTAGAAGTTTTAGCGATAGTTGGTGTTTGCGGCTTGACTATTCCCTTTTCGCCCGTGATCGTTTGCGTTATTAATTCAACGTTAATATCTGAATTTATACCTGGTTTTTGTTGATCGGTAGCGATAACAATTTTATTATTATAGCCTATCACTTGACCGATCTTAAGTTCCATATTACTTGGAGACATGTATAGTCCCGGCGCATAAACGAAGTCCACTTTGGATTGAGCGTACTGTAATGCATCTTGAAAACGCTTTATAGACGATGGTATGTCAACTGGTGAATTAATGGCGTCCTCCACGTTTGCGACAAACTGTTTTTGTGCATCGAGCGCCGTCCCAGAACCGATAATGGATGTTCGTGTTTGCGATTGTGCTCCGAGAATTGCCCATACATAAGTTCTTATCGATTCATTAAATCTTACAAATCCTGGGTTAGTAAAATTATTTTCCGTTTTATCATTAAGAAATTCATTCCAAGCGTTTGCGGTATCGTTCATTTGTATAAATTTTGTAACAATATAAATTAAACCACTCTTAAAACTCATAATATCCCCTCTCCAATCGTTACTCCAAAGTTCCCAGTCTTTATACCAATGATGAGTTTTAAGAAAATAATCATACATTCTTATGTAAAGTTTGCTGGTATGCAACAACTTAAACGCATTAAATGGACCTTTGTTAACCTCTTTAAATAAATCATCGCTTTCTTCTTTGACGGTTATTTCCCCTGTGTAAGGAACACCTAGACCATGGTTTGCTCCTTTAATACGCCAATCTTTACTCGTAGAAATATTAAATTCCTGACAAATACGCTCATACGCGGACCTATTGTACGGATTATTTGTGGAATTCCACGCTCCATCCTGCGGTAATGGAGCACTAATTTCTTTAAGTATACGTCTAATCTGATAATACACGTGAAATAATAAAACAGACTTATTTAGCATAAATCCTGGGGCATTAACAGATACGCCACATCCCGTTGTGGCACACCATATGGCAAAGTTTAACTGATTCTGCCAAAATTGCATCGGATTGTGAAACCAATCGTGCACCATTTTATCGCTAGTTGCCGTGACCCTGTACTTTTCAAAGATATCTGGGAATTTAACGAAAAATTCAGCACCAGAGGCAGTTACTATAATCGATTGATTAGTAATGTATCTCGATTTCATATTTAAGTTATGATATAGTATCATTGTATATTTAATATGTATGTTACACTACCTGGAATAACAAATGGTCAGTCTATTGAACTGCTTCATACTATCGATAACTCGGATGGACAACTCGAAGTAGCTCTATGTGATGTAACGTATTACCCACTGTGGACCAATATAAGTGTTGTGAGAGATAATAATGAGATACATATAATAGGTGAAAACAATGGTATTGATAAATTCATTACTATACCTGATGGGTATTACAGCGTATGCTCACTCAATGATGAAATTTTTAAGCCTAATGGAGCTAGTCTAACACAAAATGAGTCGAATGGGACAGTGAAAATCGACTCTGGAGAAAACGCTGTAGTTCTTATCCCATACTTAGAAGTTACACTTGGATTTCATCATAGAATAGGAATTATAAATTCTAACAAACCACAACAGGGAATTAAATTACCCGATTTAGTTCCCTATAAAGAGTTGTTCATCCATCTTGATCAAATAAGCACGACGGATAATATTCAACTAGAAAGTCCTTCAACTCTGCTCAGAAGTGTTCCAGTGAAAAATGAAAAATATAATAGCGGTAGAACGGAATCTTTCTCGTCATTACAATATAAAAAATTAAAGCGGGGAATTATTTCAGACCTCAAAATTTCTGTATTAGATGTAAAACACCAACCAGTACATATAGGATACTTAAGTGTAACACTCCATATTAAAAATAATGGTTGATGCATCAGGCCCTGGAACAGTAAGACAATGTAATACAATTGCGCTTTCCGATCTCGGAGACACGGAAGGATTTGGTAAACCCGGTACCGATGGTAAGTTATACGCTTTACACTTACACGATAATGTATACAAGCGGAAAGAAGTCACATTCACGGGTAATCTAGGAGATTTAAGCGATGTCGATGTTAGTAGACTCCTTAAAAACACTTCGTACAATATTACTCGCAACGACGATAATAAATGGACTATGGTTGAAGCAAACATCGAGTGGCTACTGAATATCGTCATTACCCCACCTTATGTGATGATGGGTAAGGGACATAATTTAACTAAGATAATAAATAGTGACATCGTACTCGCGGCTTATATCCCGTCAAAACGAAAAAGTGTGTTAGTTACCCCCCTGCCAGAAAACCCAGGTCATATGTTATATAGTCGTCCGGCCTTAAAAAATGTTACTTTAAATTTGGTTACTGAATTCGAAGATATTAAAGATAACTTGAGTGCAATATCTAATCTTTCTACGCTTATTATTGAAGTCTTGTTCGGAGATGCACCGGAAGATGCCTTTGAAATATTACCAGGTCTATCGATTAAATGGCTAAAGAAACACCAACGTCAACGTTGCAGTATTATTCATATCGGAGCATCGCCCGTTGCAACCCTCGAGGGGGTCCAAATTATTAAAAGTGACAGTATTTCTCTTTCTAAGATATTCTTGCCGTATAATATACATTTGATAAGATTGATGTATAGTCTCAAAACATTTAAGCAAGACCAATTAAAGACTATTATATGAACGTAATATACACTATGAGTTTATATCCTACGCTCGGTGAAGCATTTGAAAAGATGGAAACTGTTGATGGATTTCGATTACATCAAATAAGCGACATAAAACTTCGAATAGGGAAGGAGAGGGAGTTGAGACTTGGATTGTATAAAAAGTATCGCAGAGCCGTGAATGCTCTGGACGGAGTTGACACCGTGCTTTTAGTATCTGGCATGGGACTCGGTGTAGCGGGTATCGGTTTACTATCAACTATAATCGCCGCGCCTATCGTGCTCGGCATGGAAATAACCGCTGGAGTCTCGGGACTGGCAGGAATAGCGATAAAATTCATTTCTCGTAGGTTACAAAAGAAAGCATTAAAACACGATAGTATTCGGATACTGGCCGAAGCAAAGTTGAACAGCATTGAGGATCATATTTCGACAGCAATGGCTGATTGTAAGATATCCGAGGATGAGTTTCGTTTAGTGCTGTCGGAGCTCAACAAATACAATAAAATGAAGCAGGAGATTCGATCAAAATCTCGTAAGACCAGTGGTATTAGCGAAGACGAGAAAAAAAAGTTCATAGAAGAGGGGAGGCAACAAGCGCGTCAATTATTCCGTGCCAAAACCAAAGAACTGGTTGGAGATTAAAAATAGATTGTTTACTATCGTGTGATTACATTTAGACAAATGCTAACATAAATATATAATAATGGAGAAAGCTATTCAATGGAAAGAATTACCACAAGGTTTTTATTATATCAGTGATGTCAAACCAACCAAATACGGTTATCAATTGTTTCTTATCAATTTACAAAAAGAGTGTAGTTATATAGTCTGGTCTCCTAGTAAAATGAACGAAGAACTTAATAAAAATGTTGAATATCGCTTTATCGATAAAAATAATAAAGAATATTTTTATTACCATTTAGACTCATCTAAAGCAATGATTGGCCCCAGGTATTGGTGAGCTAGGGTCAATTTAACTTAATCTTATGACTATCATTAAATCGCATCATCATTTTGGCATAAAAAATTCCTCCTGTAGTAGCAGTATAGGTATATGAATCCTGCTCCAGTGGAGTTGCGGCAGAACCCCCATTACCTATACTACTACTATATTAAAATAGAAACCCTAGAGTAAAAACTCAATTGCTCAAAAAGTTATCTGGAGCTCTGGGTGTAAAAAATTGATAATTGCTATAGGCTCCATTTTGTCCATTTCAATGCTATGGAGTATGCTATCTCAGAGATGAAGTCACTTGACTGAAGTACACCAAATTGTGAATGATGTCACAACAAACACAGATCAATACTACTATAGGTCACGCGTAAACATAACAACAGCCTAGATATGCCAGGCAACACCGATATACTTAGTTCAAACAACACACTGAGTTTACCCACTCTTGCAATTAAGGAACCTATGAGATGGAAGAGGCGAAGCTGTGATTGTGAAGCTTGAGATGGTGACATGTGCATTGTCATCAATATCTGAACTTCTGATGTTACCCAGTAACTGACAAACAAATGGTATCCCCAATAAATCATGACAAATAGTGTTCTTATGTACAAATACTATGTCTAATATTTTAGCATCAGGAAAGCAAAATTTCTGACACTAATAACCAAATTCATTACCTGATAGTTCCACTTCTGTTGTCAATCTGACCATAAAACATGGAGGATCCTGAGTTATATCTGGAAAGGAATGGTGCAACATTTATTGTTTACTTTGCTGAAAAATTCCATTTCCTTGCCTTAGCAATATGTCATCAAATAAATTCTTGTCCATTCTCCTTTAACTATGATCCTTTACTAAAGAGGTATTATATTGGAGTAAACAATCTGGTTATATTAGACAAACTTTTGTTGAACTCTCATTAAATAGCTATACAAGGAACCAAGTCAACAGGACCTACTCATCCTATATTCTACTTCTCCCATTTTCATGAATGTTATATTGCAACACAGATACAAATGCAGCCATGACAGCGTTAGAAATTTGCAGTAGTCCTGTAGTCCTTGCCAAACTGCCCAATAGTTAAGGTATCATAAGGACTAGTAGAAATTTGCCATTTTGAAGGGTTTTACTATATGTTATCATTATAAGGACTAGTGGACAAAAAATGTTAGTTTCTACCACTGCATGAGACAATATATAAACAATTTATGGTTATTATCAGCACGTGCTAATAAACATCATTATTCCACTCTTTTGGTAATATGTACATACACAACAATTATGAATCCATTTCAGTGACACTGTGTTGTGCTGGCTGACAAACAGTGAGGAGGGATCCAATTTCTTCCCTAAATTATCAAAATGTCCATGGAAAGTGACTTGGGGCAGTAAAAGTAAAGATGTATCTAGTTATTTCCTTTCAAACAATTCTAGTAATCAGTAATCAAAAGCTCATTTCTGGATTTGGCCAGTACCCAACAAACATATATAGTTGAGGAGAATCTGCTTGACAAGTGTCAACTGTACACTAACTCTAGCTATTATTCTTGGACACTCTGGCCATTAAACAAGGCAACAAATGGCCGACAAATTGGAATGAGTTCTTCTATTCTATGTACATACTGTATTACCAACAACACCATTATCAGTAAAGAAACTGAATATACTTAAAATGGTTAAACTGTGAGGGCAGCTTCTAGGGGATTGAAAAAAAAATATCAGAGCTGAAAACAACTCACCATTCACATCTTACATTTAAATGGAATAGATTAGATTCTCAAAATTACAGACAATTCACTGAAATTGAGTGATCACGGATCAGAATCATGACACCTTTTAAAAAGAATTTCAACACTGTAATGTTGTGTACATAATATGTAAATGTACAATGCACTTATATTCTGTTGTATAAATATTATTTATACTTGTATATGTAAATATATTTATGCTGTTGTTTGTTCGTTGTGTTTAATGCAGCAATCAGCAATATTCCAGTTATATGACCATGGTCTAAGTAAACAAGTCTAGACCAAACAATCCAGTGATGGACATCATGAACACTTGGTAAACGATTACATGACATCAACCAAATCAGCAAGTCTGTTCCCCTGACCCACTTAGTCACCTCTCAAGACAAGCATAGAGTGCTGGAGACCCATATTCTTACTTGGAATCACCACGGATAATATATACTGATGGAAATGAATAAGGGAACAATGAAAAACATAGGGAAATAAAATGTACTGTCAGTACATTTGAAATAGCACGAATACAAATTCAACACGTCAGAATTAAATGTTGAGATGTGTCTGAGTGCATTGATTCCAATGGGTAATTATTGGTAGACACGACTGGGAACCCATGACAGCACATCATGTTACTGTGTCTAAACCTAAGTGTTCCCTTATTCATTTCCATCAGTATATGTCACATGTTATGAATATGTATATCAATTTATTCTACCATATAAGATGTAGTGTGAAAGTCAAATGGGATATCGATATATGAACACAAGTTCATGTAAGTAAAATAAAATGTCCAGATCAATAATACGACCCCCTTTCAGTGTTTTGTTCCACTCACAACCTCACTGTACCAGTCTTGTAAACAAAAGGTGCTCCCTCTTAAAGTGAGGTGTCCCCCTCTTAAAACACATTCCTTTCAAGTGTTCCAGAAAACTAATATTTAATTAATCAGTAAGTTCATAAAAAATGTGGAAAAAAGAAGTTTCTCTTCTTGATCTAAATCTAATACAAAAATAGAATTACGGGCACTGGAATATGGACTTTGAGTGGCATTGTTTTGCATGTTGAGTGGGTGAGCATTGTGAAATCTGTTGTTAGATATCTTCATCTTAAATATGTGTAGTATGCAAGTTTCAGTGCCAGTTAAAAACATTTAATCCATGACATACCTGTAAAATCCTCTCCAAAGATGGACTTCAAAGCTTCTATTTCCTCAATCTGTTCTTCTCTTTTGTCCGACATATTTCCTGCATAGATTATAAGAGAATAGCATTCAGAAAGCATGCAGATGGATGTAAACGTTAATAGATCTCACTTAACAGTGTACGAGCTGTAAAGGAACAATATAATTATTTTCTTCAAGGCCTATATTTACATATGGATATATATTTCTTACAGTGAATACAAACATTTGCCAAATATTTTCATAAAGTAAGTCTCCAATGTTTGCAATAGAGATTTTGAGTGGTGGGCTGATGTTAATTTAATATTATATTTGGTGATAGTTGTACATTCCAATATAACACACCTAAAATAGTGTCTTGTGTGAGTTTTATGGTACCAAACTTTCTGCTGGTGTCCAAACATATACCTTACTTATTATCAAAATTAATTGAAAATTATCAATATATGATATCTGTAACATGAGGGAGTGATGTTTGTTTGCTATCTAAACTTGAAATATGAGTATTACATCAATAGCAAATACTTTCTGATTCATATGTTGAACTCAATTTACCATTGAGCACACTTCCGACACTGCTGACATAAATGGTGTGAGAGTGCCCAGAATGGATCATGCCAATTTGTCACATACCCAATTTGGCAGACAGTGGAGTAGAGTTTCTACCTATAGTGGCAATAGTTACATATGTTTTCTACACAGATTGAGTTACTAAATATATTTGTTTGGGCATAATTATTGTAACCCATGTCAATTAACGTTTATAAGAAAAATACATGTAATTAGCAGCAAAGTTCGCATGTTATTAAGTTTATGAAAAAAATGTGAAGGACATATAAAAATCCACATTAAATGACATGAAAATGAGAAGTAGAATCAACATGATTTTTTTTTTATAATTTAATATATTCTATTGACAGTTGCTGAAACAGAAGTGAAAGTTATTATTATAAAAACAAGAGAGCATGTTTTAGTCAGTGACAATCATAATAAGTCTTATATTCTGATGAGGTGTCTGACATATGGGGTATGATTGGGACTAATTCATTTTATCACTTGGGTAACAAGCGATAGGTGGAGAGCTCAATAGTGGCATTTGTGATTATAAGGTATCTGACAAATAGTGTGAGAGTGAGACCACGAAGGGCGATACCAGTACATAGCTGCACATAATGCATACATTTTTACATAATATTAATTAATTTAAAATTAATTATCAGTATTGTTTGTAACATGGACACAAACAGACACGACGCAACACGGTAGACATAGTATTTACATAGTTCTTAACTGTTTGGTTGACATTCTAGAAGTTGGTGAGTAAATAAGAAAACATACAACTTTATGGATAGCATCTTCTGGTTTATTGGTTAAGACGCTTCCATGTAGAATCTCACACCGTTATCAAACGGGAGGGACTACAACCAAGTGATGAGAAGTATACATAATATGTCGTGAGAAGCAGCAGATTAAAATTAACAATGACGGGTAAAAGATAACACAGGTAGATCTAGCACAGATAATATTGGACGGATCCAGATGTAGATCTAGATACATCTAGATCTAGATCCACATAAGGATAAGGATAAAATTGTCACTTCTTATTTTCACTTCTTGATTCATTATATGTTAGTTCATACTATAGTAGTCAGGTGATGTTGATTATAAATAAAATATATTTATCTCACCTTTGAATCATTGAAAGTTCGCTGTAAAATGTAACATAATGTTGTGAAATAGTGCCCGTTAGTAAAAGGGAGGTAACTCAATATAGCAGACGATGACTGTTTACCAGCTATTTACAGCAGTTGCTTCAGATTAAATCCCAGAATTCACATGCCATCTTGACCATGTTGGCGTACGTAGTACTCCTCACATCATGTATGTTTTATATTTCTGATACTAATTCATTTCACTCCTAGAAAAAGAATAACTGTCTTATCACACGTTGACAGTTTTTCCACTGAGAGAACTCTTTAAGGGAAGCAACTCGTGTTTGCCCTCCTCTTCCTTGTGTTCGAATCAGCCACAATAATCTATTGCATGATACATATATAAATCATATTTCGTAAAGGATAATATCTTCATACTACGAAACGACATGTTTGGACTGAATTGTTGTTGTTGTTATTATTATTGTTAATTTTATAACATTATCATCATTTACATTGTTTCGACGCAGGATTAAAAAATAGTTAGTTGTGACAATAAAAAATATATATCTTTAACATCTTTGCTTTGCTTCGGAAAATGGGAGCACTTTAGAAAAGCAATGCACAACAGTGTGGAGCTCAGTGATTTCTTTCGGTGAGTCGAGCATTCTCATTTATACCTTCGAATTGACGCTTCATTTCATTGTCATATGATGATACCGTGATTACCGTCCCTATTTGACGTTATTTTTAGACATTGACACCCAATTCCCCTAAAATAGTTCTGTATGTCGCCGCTCGATTGACAACGTAATCACGTGACAAACTGACGTTTTCGGGAAATGAACGACAGTCAGCTTGGTAGTGTTCCTCTAGGCGAGGTCACCCGCTACTGTCAATATACTCCAATGGACTCACACAAAACCAATTCTTAATTAAAACAATGATGTGACGTCATAGGAACAATGGTACTTGCATCGCCATGGAACGTTGCAGGCAAAATGCGTCACAATTGCCATGACGTCGTAGGCATTCCAATGTCACCATGACGAGAAAACAACCAAACATTGGTGGCCAGTCCATCATGGCGGTCGCTTTGTTATCAGGCATCAGATAAGGCATCTACATACGACCGCATTATATACTGGCGAAGAAGGTAAACGTACACAACGGACACACTGAAACAATTGTAAGTCGAAACATCTTCTAAGGAAACTGGCAATATGAAGCGTCTCTCCCTGGAACCATCGGCAACAAAGCCGACATCCAGACCTAAACTCGATCCCGGGGGAAGAAGAAGATCACTAGCCCCCACAACGGGATGGACAGACCACCCCTCCATCACCTACTTTGGTGGTCGGAGAAACATTAGAGCTGCTGGGGATGTCAACTTGGAACCAGTCACAGCCAATGTCAAACTCAGCAGATTGCAGGTAGGGGATTCTTTCGGGAAACGAAATTAGTACACTTTATAAATCACTTTTAACATCAAATTTTGAACGAACCAACGTGTCCTCGGTACCAGTCAAGTCTATGTATGTACGTACAGTAAGTATCACTTATTTGTCTCACGACAGGAATGTTTAATTGTGTAGGGTGTCTGAGGTGTTTATCCTCGACCTGTGAATAGGTCTTCAGCAACCCATGTTTGGCGTAAAAGGCGACTATGCTTGTCGTAAGAGACGACTAGCGGGATCGGTGGTCAGGCTCGCTGACCTGGTTGATACATGTCATCGTATCCCAATTATGTGGATCGATGCTCATGATGCCAATCACTGGATTGTCTAGTCCAGACTGGATTATTTACAGACCGCTGAGTGCGGCGTCAAACATTGCTGAGTGCGGCGTCAAACACCAAACAAACAAAACAAATATTTATAATGTTGGATATAATGGAAGTTATTAAGGATGGGTCAGGAAAAGCATGTCTCTCCATGCAGTGAGTATATTCATAAAGACAGCTTTCATACAACCGACACAGGATGTCACACGTTTGACGTGTAACTGTAAGGCTTTCCAACAATCAACAATCAGCATACGCAGTTTATATTCGGACTGCATATCTTTTGACAATAAAGTCAAACACCGTTATGTGTAACTTTGATGTGTCGAACTTTCGTTTGTCTCGAAGTAAAACTTGGTCCCTGCGTATTCCTCCTTTATTAATCATTTTCGGTTGTGTTGAACCTCGTATAACTTTGTTTCCGTAGGTCACTTCAACTTCGACACAATGGTGTTTGACTAAAAATACCTAGGGACTGTATTTAATGTCATTACCTTACTGATAAAAATGATAAGTAAAATTAATAAGCATGAGACAAGAATAAATCCATCATATCAGACAATATACTTTACGGTGCCTTACTGGTAATTTTCTCAACTATTTCCCAGATGCTATTCGCAAAGGCCAGCCTGGCGGGCTTAGGGGGTTTATCTTTGGATGAGTTCAAGGTCGCCATTCGGCAGACTTTGCACCACGACATCAACGACTTCGACCTTGAAATGATGTTCATGAAGATGGACGCCAACTGTGATGGCAGAATAGACTGGGAGGAGTACCTCACGTACAACCTCCTGGAGTACAAGGAGAAGAACCAGATGATGCAGATGCTGAGAGATATGCCCTTTCCAAACGATATGAAGGAAATTCAGACAAAGCACCACGAACTCATAGTCCGAGTCTCCTTCTATCCCCACCTCACCAAGAGGAGCACCAAGGTCGACCCAACTAAAGGCAAGTATGCTACCCTCAGTAGAGACGGGGTGGTGAGCTTCTGGACTATTCAGATGAAACATGTACGGTCGATCCCAGCATTCAGCCCAGCTGACCGCAAAACACAGCCGTGGTATGTCGAAATGGCGTGTCTCTATAACAACAATATGCTGGCAGTCGCTTCAACAGAGCGGGATATCACCTTCTTCGAAGTGTCGAGCAAGAAGCTTGTGAAGCGGTATATTATCACTGGGTTGGAAGATTGTATCACGTGTTTAGACTGCCGGGCAGACTTAAAGGACAGGAAACATACCGTTCTCCTATGGGGAGACACTGCTGGCAACCTTTTCTCGGTCAACTTTGAAATTCAGAGAGGAGGTGCAATGTTCGGTACGCTGGATCAGAAGAAAGACTCGGTTAAGAAATTCAGTTTTGCCGAACTATTCAGAGGGTACGTGCCAAAAGTGAAAGCTTACAAGTTAGGCAATGTTCACGATGATTGGGTGTGCAAGATACAGTATGTGCAAGAGCTCAACTGTGTCCTGTCATGTTGTCAAAGTACCAACACTGCCCTCTTTATGGGAGACTTCGTCAAGAAGAAACCGCCGGCCTATTTCAAAGCGATGAAAGGTCTCCTCTGCTTCGACTACTGCCCCATGCATAATATCATCGCAACAGGCGGTATGGACTATAACGTTCGCATTTGGAACCCGTATGTCGTCAACAGGGCGATAGTCATCCTCAAGGGGCATAACAAACCAGTCATTCACACAGTCTTAAATGGGAGAAAAAACATGCTGATTAGTATCGATAAAGGAAAAACAATCCGGATCTACGACCTGAGGGACCATAGCTGCCTTCAGCACATTAGTGGTCGCATGGTCAAACTGGGTCAGTTCTCCATCTCTGCCGTCTGCTTCAACCGGAAGTTGCAGCATCTGATTCTTGCGACCAATCTGTTAGCTCTGCTCGAACACAAGGACGAGGACGTCAAGATTACAGAAGTTATATCCCATACTAAACCGGTGGTGACAGCACTTTACAACCCCACCTTCAACGTGATGGTCAGCGCCTGCGAGGGGTCTGTGGTCAGCATTTGGAACATCGAGAATGGTGGGTATGGTATAACTCCATCATACATGTAAATGGCAGCAAGGCCGTGATTCCGAGTTAGAATATGCTTGGGGTATGAGGCGATTAATTAGATCTTGTGGTCAGACTTGGCATCTTACCGAGGCAAGGGAGATAACTGACTATAAACGTCCAGTTTTCACCCTTGCCGAACTAGGCTGAAATTATGAAGGTATATTTTGGCTGGACAAACGAATTCTTTTCCAAGTCTAATCAAAATCGCGTAACGATATCGACATCCGGTTCGTAAATTGCTGTGCAAATTTCGATTGATTGCAGGATTTGCAAAGCATGTGTACCGTCAACTCAGCGGCACCCGATATTTTCCAAATCTTTTATTGTTTTTAATCAAGGTGGCCACGTGATTTGATGTACTTCGCAAAGTAAGACCCGTTTTATTGCAATTTAGATCTTGATTATCGATCAGATCGTCGTCACTGGGCGCTGCCATTTTGTTTGAAGCAAAGCAAGTGATTTGAGAGGTGGAATTTGATTGGTCAGTAGGAGGGACACAGAAGGGACATAACTCGTAATAACCACCGGTGGCGCTACGATCGAGCCAAGAAATTCTAGCCAAGTTCGGCAAGGGTGGAAACTAAGCTTTTACAGTCAGTTTACTCACTTGCCTTGGGAAGATGAGATTTGGTGAATTGGTTGTATGCGCGTCATCGTACTCCGTCGGTGACAGATGTTGCGAAAGACTGGTTTGTATTGTCCCGACTCGAATAATAGCAGACTGACGTCATATGTCTGGAATATTGATGAGTTCGGCGTTAGTAGTGGTGCATAATTAGCAAATTAGCATAAGAACTTTTATAATATGATGCGATTTGTATAAATCGGTCAGCCCTTTGGCTGAGTCTCGGGCTGACATGAGGTGTGATATATATGAAAAGTGACATGTAAAAAGTGTCATCTATTAGACGCTCGGGCGTCTGTTAATTTCGCCATTGACCCGGCGTCCATCCTGTTTAATGCTGGCACAGTGGCTACTCACTACTTTACCAAATCCCTTGACGCCCTTGACACTCCATGTTCAAAGACACGTGGATATACCCGAGGGGTGTAATCATTACATGCCGTGATGGACCCGGTCTCTATTGATGACGGGTCATACGCTCTGTCAAGAAAATGTAAGCCAGGCCTCCATCACACGTCAGAGCCCCATTCTCCCAGAGACCGTATGTTATGGTCTCTGGTTCCACAAAGCCATCTTAGCGCTAAGATGATCGTAACTCCCATAGCTTAACACAGACTTACAACAGTCGAAACGCTAAGATTGCTTTGTGGAACCGGCCGGATTCTATTTCCTGGACAGAGCGTATTACCCATCGTTTTCGAGACTCGGCTTCTAACAGGGGAAATAAAGTATTTATATTTGGTACCCACTGTAAAATTCATAGACTCTTATGCATATTAGCTACGTTTATGAAAACTTTCTGAAGGCATGCTATACCATTTATGACATCTTTTTAAAGTCCATGCATGTGTCCCGTTTTCAGGTAACAACATTTTCACCTACATTTTAGTCGTTGATGCCTGTACATGTGCCATTTAAAACATTTTAGTTTCAAACACAAGAAATGTAATGAAGAATAAAGTGCAGTGTTACCATACCTTACTATATACGCGTCTAAGGTCCTCTCGAGAACGCTCTATTGTGTAAACAACAGGGAATGTAAAGATTAGTTACAAATCGATTGAATTATGGTCTTGAGAAGAATAGGCTTTTTGCAAGAATACCGTCAGGCTTTAGAAAGGGACCTTTATTCTTCTGAATGACAATACTTTTGATCGGACAGCAGGCATTCAGCATTTAAAATACGTTTTCATGTCTGATCTATACTGGCTTTGACAAGACTGCTTTTTTGTTTATGTAAAAGTCAAGTTAATGGTAAAAAGACAGCATACCTGGAAACTCACAAAACCAAAGTAGCTAAGGAAAGGACAGCTGTGTCATAATTTCAAGCTTGTTAATTTTGTTTTATGATTTACATATTCAATCTGTTTTTGAATAATCAAAAATAGCTGTTTGTATCGAGAACATTTACTAGTATATAGTTCTATATCTATATCTATTATTCTTGTCTAGATATATAAATAGAATATATATCTAGATCTATCATTTTCGTCTCAGTGTTATTTCGACCTGTGAAGATCCGGGTAAGCATATGTCTTCAGGAACCTATGCTTGCCGTAAAAGGCGACTATGTTTGTGGTAAGAGGCGACAGGCTCGCTGGCTCGCTGACTTGGTTGATGCATGTCATCATATCCCAATTGTATGGATCGATGTTCGTAATGTCAATCACTGGATTGTTTGGTCCAGAATCGATTATTTACAGACCGCCGCCATACAGCTGGAATATTGCTGAGTGCGGCGTAAGACAACAAACAACCAACCAATATGGCTGCCATGGCGACAATAATGAAAATCGGTTTTGAACCTCAAATTCAGTTTGCTTAATGTGTTGTAACCTGAGTGTATGTTACTCTGACATTACATTGCTGAAGAGAAAACACCTCCTACATGGACGTCGCCATGTTTGATGATCGATAGGAGAGACACATACTGATCATACAGTATGACTTGCAAAATTTAGAAATTCAAGGCCATTGAAGGGAGACAACTCCTACAGCCTTACAGTACACATTCCCACTGGTTGAAGTGTTATGGAGCACATATACTACAGTGGCACAAGCGAGAATATTGTGGTAAAAATATATGATTATCTCATATTGATCAGTAAATTTCATTCAATTGACGTTTACTGCAAACAAGTGAAATTTGAAATAAACTGAAGTTTGGACAATTTTCAAGTTATTTTTGACGACGATTTACTCCCAAATGAGAATAGGGACCGACTTTTAAATTTCATTTTTGGAATCGCCATACTCGAAGGTACTTAAAGAAAACACCTTTTTTCACCTCAACTGTGTTCGACGTATCGCCCTGGGTTTAGGGGTATCTGTTGTGTATCTGATATTTCAGAATTACAAATTTATTTAAATTATTTTATCACGTGTGCAAACATGACAATTTCGGTGTGAAAAGGTGGAATGGAAACACATGAAACTTCCAATATTGGTGTCGCCTAAGAAAGCTGTAGCAGCGCAGAGAGAGCAGTCACACACTTTGACATGCTTAATACATATTGCTGTTGGACAGAAAATAGCGAGGTGACGAAATATGTTTTTAGTAAATATATTGCAAAAAAAATCAAACACCAAAGTAAAAAGTTCATACCTATTTGATCTGATTATTGTTATAGCCTTGTCCTCTTAACACAGAACAACGTTGCTCCTCTAATTCCCCGTTCACATGCACAACATTTACTGACATTAGTAATTTTGCACATGTGTAACTGAACATACATGTACGTGTGTATATGTGAATTTACTATGCGTTCACATGAAAATAAACTTAAGTCTGTAAATAAAGTATGTAAATTGCGTAAGGCACACAAATGCGTCAGTCTGTATACAGTCTGTAGAAAAAAGAAGAAGTTGTTTTCCAATCAAAGTTGAATGAGAAGAGAGTTACTTCACCGTAAAGTTTCGCGTGAAGCAACATGGGTTTGATTTAATTTGTACACAGTTTTGACTCCTTGAAACCAAAAGAAAACACCGTCCGCTCAACTCTGTATATACGCATAAAATTTGGCAACTGTTGACAATTTGTTTGGTGTTGGCAAAAGAACAGACATTAATCAGATCATCCTCTTACGTTAACATAAACGTTCACGTAACAACATATACACACAGTGCAAGTTTACACTAAATTTTACATTAACACCTGCTCCAGACATGATGCAAATTTGCGTTCACATGACAAGTATACTCACGTATGTATTTCTACACACGTATGCAGATATACACACATATGTATAGAGGCGCATGTGAACGGGGTACAAGTCCAGCTAAGTTCAGTTAAAGAATGTTTCACTCTGTAAAACAATGATGTAGCCCAGTAGTTAATCGTTCGCTGGTCATGCCAAAGACCATGGTTCGTTCTCCACGTGTGTACCATATGTGAAACCCATTCAAAGTACACGTGTCCCCTTTCGCAATTTATTGGGAATATTGTTAAAATCAGCGTAAAACCATACTCACTCACGATGTGCGGCCATCAGTTATTGTCAGGTGAACGTTCCGAAGCGCCAGTAAAATAAATATATTAATGCCAAAAATTACAAGGCAGTTTTCGCAATGAAAGCGACAGTTGCAGTAGTTGCTGGAATGAAGGAAGCGCGTCATCATTCCTCCCCATAATGACCCAAAGGAAGATATAGAATACGACCCTTTTCATTGCATGGGTGGTCAGTGCATCAATAATGTTTTTCACATTTTGATTTAAACTTTCTTTCGCTAAATGTATATATATTACTGCGTGAAATAAATTGAACTTGTTACAAGATTTTCACAAAATCATTGCCTATCTGGCGGGTCTCTTTGTTGTCCGCAAATTATATGGGGACTGGTAGGGTGGGGCGTGGGGTGAGATTGGTCTTAGGACTCATGTTTTGATGTTTTGATACTATGATATATTACCAGCCGTCCCCACATAATGTTCAAGCTTATAAAATTAATTGCCACCCGTGCTAAGGCCCCGGACAAAGAATAATGTTGCTTTTTTTTCCTTTCAGGAGAGAAAGTAATGCAGTTCATCAACGCTCACAGTTCAATCGAGAATGGAGTCGAAATTCCCGTTGAAATTACGGTTATGACATTTGACACGGTAGGCCGACGCGTCATTACCGGTGCGAGAGATGGCAGCGTCAAAGTATGGAACTTTAACAATGGCGCATGTCTCCAGAATTTCCAAATTCCTGAACATAGCGTTATAACAGGGATTGTAAGTTCCAAACACCGCATCTACGTAACTGGATGGGACAGGAGAGTTCACATTTACGTGGATGGCGGAGGTGAGGAGAGCCGAAAGACGTGGCAGACACGACACAAAGAAGACATCCTCAGTATTGCATACCTCAGCCCTAACATCATAGCAACCAGTTCTTATGATGGCGACATCGTCATCTGGTCACGTGACACGGGACACATGTACAGCCGTCTTAATGCTCACCTTGGTGTGCGACCAATCATTGATCACTTTCAGATGGATAATAGGGATGAGGCAGAGGAGGATCCCGAAACGGACATCCCCGAAACTTCAAACCCCAGTCAGCCTTCCTCAATCCCCACCCCAGCAGATGGCAGGGTTTCTTCCAAGGGACGCAGCACTAGCAGCCCAAGGAAGAGTCTGATGTTGGGCTCTCGGCTGGGGAGATTGAAGGAGGGAGAGGAAGCCTCTTCCGAGGGCAGCACCCCAAATAAGACGGCTTCAAAACATTCATGTGAACACCCCCTTCTCCGTGCCCTCGACAGTGAACGGAACAGCAGCCCGTCGGGAGAGTTTAAACCAAGGAGCAAGTTCAGCAGAGATGAGTACGAAACTATCAGTCAAGCTTACGAGGCAGCGGTCGAGAAAATAGTATTTCTTGAAACACGTGAAGCTCTGGAGAAGAAGACAGCTATAATGGTAACAGCAGGTGCTGATGGATGGGTTCGAGCCTGGTCTATTCATCACCAAGGAGGACTTCTGGGGCAGTTCTATGCATCTCATGTGGTAGGGGACAGCATTTCGACTGTCGAAACTGATGCCCAAAACAGATATCTCTTCACGGCAGACATGTCTGGGTATATCAAAATCTGGGACCTTGTTGACTACTGCACCAGCACAAAAATGTCGCAGAGAGAAGAAACCAGACACCTAGACCGGCTGAAGGAAAAGTTCACTTTTCTTAGGGTTGAAAGCGCCTATGGCCATAGCTTATTCCAGATTACGAAACAAGCCCGGATATTAAACTCCCGTCCACCTCCTCAGCGCAGCAAACCCGAAAAGAACATGAAGACACCACGCCTACTCAACTCTTTCCGCGCTCATATATGCCCTATCAATAGTATCACCTTCATAGAAGACCGTGAACTGATCATCACCGCCAGTATGGATTGTGCCATCAGACTGTGGACCATCTGTGGAAGATACATTGGGACATTCGGGGAGAAGTGGAATAAGCTGCCAAGGACTATCATCCCCGACAACATCAAAAGGAACATACCCAAAGAGCTACGTCGAGTAGGTTCTGCTAAAACGCTTAGGGTTCTCAACGGAGGCCAAGCACCTCACTGGGAGCTCGCTATGAAGGTAGTTCGGCAGAGGGGCTTGGAACAGTTGAGGACACAGTTACCACACCTGCAGAGGCTGGACTACACAGGTACACCCGACAACGCTGAGCAGAAGGTTGGGGGCAGCAACATCTTGGGCAAGTCTTACAAGGGGAAGGTCCGCCACAAAATGCCGCCAGTACTGCCGAAACTCATCGAAACCCCTAGAACTGTACGTTATTTACTGATGTTACAGATATTTCTTTAGTGGCAACTGCGTAATTGTTCAGTTTATATGAATTCACATGCTTTTTGATTTATTTCAGTAGGTCTACTCATATGAAAAGCAAACGCTTAACACCACGTTTCTATAATTACATTTTTCACGTTGAACCCACTCAGAGCGAGATCAGGGACCGAATAGGCCAACCCAATTCTTATTCACCATTGACAGTACAATATCCATAAGGGTTACACGATCGAGGGGCACTACAACCTTCTGATATTTTCCCGTGTGCACTTAAGCAATGTCCATAGCTGATTGCTCGTTTACTGAAGTGTTGATAACTGACGGTACGATGCCATCAGCACTCGCTGATTTCATGCATTGGTGTCGTTACGTCATCTGAACAATAGCTTTACTTCATAAATATTTAATACGGAAAACGGTTAATGGATAAATTGTCCACTCGAAATTATGGATCATTACATTCGTTCCAAGATTGAATGGTGTAAGGATCAAACCTTATCATCCGTTATTCCATGTAGCTGTTTGTCTACAAAAAAACATATGGGGATCCCCAACCAGGCAAAGGCCTATGTCAGCTGTGATATCAGTTAATTTGGAGTTAACTTATCCACGTACGCACGCACTTAAGCACCCACCCACTCACTCGCATAAAACAGACGTTACGTTATATAAAGCAGAACCAAGACTTTGGAGACGTTTCCAAAGTTCATTTCGTGTATTTGATTGCACTTTATTTGCCATGAAACATTTGCCTACATTTCAGATTGCTGTGTATCACTCCATTCCATTTGTTGATTTGAGTCCCATCGGCCTTGTTCACTCTCCAGAGGTCATTGAAGGAATCAACAAACGCAGGAGGGCAGCCGCATTAAGATACTCAGCCAACATCCAAGCAGGTCTGATCTCAAATTTCATCAAGGTTATCGCCAAACCAGTGGTGGGATTCTCCAAACTGGGACCAAACAATCGTCTGAAGAGAATAATCAGTTTTCACCGGCGTCCGAGAAGTCGAAACGGAACTCCAGACACCGAAGATATACGCAGTACACTCACGAACTGTCCGAGCACAGTGACTTCGGCAAGTCCAGATTCAAGGTCAAGTCATGGGGGGAAGCTGTATCAGATGGAATGACAGACATCGTCAGATGTTTCCGGCGCATCGGAGTATAATGGATGAATAGTTGATTTGGTTCTTTCGCGTTTGTTAAGGAACTTTCTATCAGGAGATGACGTGCTTAGAGTAGCATTATGTTCACTTGACAATCTATTATTATAACGTGTATGACATATGAAATATACATTACCAATAACAAAATTAAATACTTGCTCATATTGAAGCTTAAAAACTACAGTACATCAGAAGAATAAATATAGCAGTTATGAATGGAGCTGTTAACGATGAAACAGTCATACAAACCGATTTCTCTGTCGTGCTTTAATTTTTATTTTTAAGTGATTTGAATATTTACGTTTTATTTAATATTGTATTTTCGACACGTTTAACCAGTTTTATATGAATATTAAATTTTGTGTATGGCCCTTCTCGTGCTTCTCGTTGCTGTGACATATGTCGGGCAGTAGCTGGGTACCTTGTGACATATGTCGGGCAGTGTAGCTAGTTACATTGTGACATATGTCGGGCAGTAGCTAGGTACCTTGTGACATATGTCGGGCAGTAGCTAGGTACCTTGTGACATATGTCGGGCAGTGGCTGGGTACCTTGTGACATATGTCGGGCAGTGTAGCTAGTTACATTGTGACATATGTCGGGCAGTAGCTAGGTACCTTGTGACATATGTCGGGCAGTAGCTAGGTACCTTGTTACATATGTCGGACAGTGTAGCTAGTTACATTGTGACATATGTCGGGCAGTAGCCAGGTACCTTGTGACATATGTCGGGCAGTAGCTGGGTACCTTGTGACATATGTCGGGCAGAAGTTGGGTACCTTGTGACATATTTCGGGCAGTGTAGCTAGTTACATTGTGACATATGATGGGCAGTAGCTAGGTACCTTGTGACATATGTCGGGCAGTAGCTAGTTACATTGTGACATATGTCGGGCAGTAGCTGGGTACCTTGTGACATATGTCGGGCACTGGCTTGGTACCTTGTGCCATATGTCGGGCAGTAGCTGGGTACCTTGTGACATATGTCTGGCAGTAGCTGGGTACGTTGTGACATATGTCGGGCAGTAGCTGGGTACCTTGTGACATATGTCGGGCAGTAGCTGGGTACGTTGTGACATATGTCGGGCAGTAGCTTGGTACCTTGTGACATATGTCGGGCAGTAGCTATGTACCTTGTGACATATGTCGGGCAGTAGCTGGGTACATTGTGATATATGTCGGGCAGTGTAGCTAGTTACATTGTGACATATGTCGGGCAGTAGCTTGGTACCTTGTGACATATGTCGGGAAGTAGCTGGGTACCTTGTGACATATGTCGGGAAGTAGCTGGGTACCTTGTGACATATGTCGGGCAGTAGCTTGGTACCTTGTGACATATGTCGGGCAGTAGCTGGGTACCTTGTGACATATGTCGGGCAGTGGCTTGGTACCTTGTGACATATGTCGGGCAGTAGCTCGGTACCTTGTGACATATGTCGGGCAGGAGCTGGGTACCTTGTGACATATGTTGAGCAGTAGCTAGGTACCTTGTGACATATGTCGGGAAGTAGCTGGGTACCTTGTGACATATGTCGGGCAGTAGCTAGGTACCTTGTGACATATGTCGGGCAGCAGCTGGGTACCTTGTGACATATGTCGGGCAGTAGCTAGGTACCTTGTGACATATGTCGGGCAGTGGCTGGGTACCTTGTGACATATGTCGGGCAGTAGCTGGGTACATTGTGACATATGTCAGGCAGTAGCTAGGAAACTTGTGACATATGTCGGGCAGTGGCTGGGTACCTTGTGACATATGTCGTGCAGTAGCTGGGTACCTTGTGACATATGTCGGGCAGTAGCTTGGTACCTTGTGACATATGTCGAGCAGTAGCTAGGTACCTTGTGACATATGTCGGGCAGTAGCTGGGTACCTTGTGACATATGTGTCGGGCAGTAGCTAGGTACCTTGTGACATATGTCGGGCAGTAGCTGGGTACATTGTGACATATGTCGGGCAGTAGCTAGGTACCTTGTGACATATGTCAGGCAGTGGCTGGGTACCTTGTGACATATGTCGGGCAGTACCTGGGTACCTTGTGACATATGTTGGGCAGTAGCTGGGTACCTTGTGACATATGTCGGGCAGTAGCTGGGTACCTTGTGACATATGTCGGGCAGTAGCTCGGTACCTTGTGACATATGTTGGGCAGTAGCTGGGTACCGGGTGACATATGTTGGGCAGTAGCTGGGTACCTTGTGACATATGTCGGGCAGTAGCTAGGAACTTTGTGACATATGTCGGGCAGTGGCTGGGTACCTTGTGACATATGTCGGGGAGTGTAGCTAGTTTCATTGTGACATATGTCGGGCAGTAGCTAGGTACCTTGTGACATAATGTCGGGCACTGGCTGGGTACCTTGTAACATATGTCGGACAGTAGCTAGTTACATTGTGACATATGTTGGGCAGTGTAGCTAGTTACATTGTGACATATTGGGCAGTAGCTATGTACCTTGTGACATATGTCGGGCAGTAGCTGGGTACCTTGTGACATATGTCGGACAGTAGCTAGTTACATTGTGATATATGTCGGGCAGTGTAGCTAGTTACATTGTGACATATGTCGGGCAGTAGCTAGGAACCTTGTGACATATGTTGGGCAGTAGCTGGGTACCTTGTGACATATGTCGGGCAGTAGCTGGGTACCTTGTGACATATGTCGGACAGTAGCTAGTTACATTGTGACATATGTCGGGCAGTAGCTAGGTACCTTGTGACATATGTCGGGCAGTAGCTTGGAACCTTGTGACATATGTTGGGCAGTAGCTGGGTACCTTGTGACATATGTCGGGCAGTAGCTGGGTACCTTGTGACATATGTCGGACAGTAGCTAGTTACATTGTGACATATGTCGGGCAGTGGCTGGGTACATTGTGACATATGTCGGGCAGTAGCACGGTACATTATGACATATGTCGGGCAGTAGCTGGGTACCTTGTGACATATGTCGGACAGTAGCTAGTTACATTGTGACATATGTCGGGCAGTGGCTGGGTACATTGTGACATATGTCGGGCAGTAGCTAGGTACCTTGAGACATATGTCGAGCAGTAGCTGGGTATATTGTGACATATGTTGGGCAGTAGCTGGGTACCTTGTGACATATGTCTGGTAGTTGCTGGGTACCTTGTGACATATGTCGAACAGTAGCTAGTTACATTGTGTCATATGTTGGGCAGTGTAGCTAGTTACATTGTGACATATGTCGGGCAGTAGCTAGGAACCTTGTGACATATGTTTGGCAGTAGCTGGGTACCTTGTGACATATGTCGGGCAGTAGCTGGGTACATTGTGACATATGTCGGACAGTAGCTAGTTACATTGTGACATATGTCGGGCAGTAGCTAGGTACCTTGTGACATATGTCGGGCAGTAGCTGGGAACCTTGTGACATATGTTGGGCAGTAGCTGGGTACCTTGTGACATATGTCGGGCAGTAGCTGGGTACCTTTTGACATATGTCGGACAGTAGCTAGTTACATTGTGACATATGTCGGGCAGTGGCTGGGTACCTTGTGACATATGTCGGGCAGTAGCTGGGTACATTATGACATATGTCGGGCAGTAGCTGGGTACCTTGTGACATATGTCGGACAGTAGCTGGGTACATTATGACATATGTCGGGCAGTAGCTGGGTACCTTGTGACATATGTCGGACAGTAGCTAGTTACATTGTGACATATGTCGGGCAGTAGCTGGGTACATTGTGACATATGTCGGGAAGTAGCTGGGTACATTGTGACATATGTCGGGCAGTAGCTTGTTACATTGTGACATATGTCGGGCAGTAGCTGGGTACCTTGTGACATATGTCGGGCAGTAGCTGGGTACATTGTGACATATGTCGGGCAGTAGCTGGGTACCTTGTGACATATGTCAGGCAGTAGCTGGGTACGTTGTGACATGTCGGGCAGTGGCTGGGTACGTTGTGACATATGTCGGGCAGTAGCTGGGTACCTTGTGACATATGTCGGGCAGTAACTTGGTACCTTGTGACATATGTCGGGCAGTAGCTGGGTACGTTGTGACATATGTCGGGCAGTGGCTGGGTACCTTGTGACATATGTCGGGCAGAAGCTGGGTAACTTGTGACATATGTCTGGGGTAGCTGGGTACGTTGTGACATATCGGGCAGTAGCTGGGTACCTTGTTACATATGTCGGGCAGTAGCTAGGTACCTTGTGAGATGTGTCGGGCAGAAGCTGCGTACCTTGTGACATATGTCGTGCGTTAGCTAGGTACCTTCTTTTGATGAAGATGAAATTTTAAGGCAACATCTCACCAAAAACAGGTGTTATTACTTACTTCCTCTTCACTTTACTCAAATGCCGACGCCATTTCGTAAGAGACGTTAGTAAACATCATGTGATATGTACGCAGCATTTGATTGGTTCTACGCGGCCAACATGTGTTTGACAACCATTTTACACATCAAAACTTTGTCTGGTTTGTTGTGGGAAGCCACTTTTACAGATGTTAAGCATCATAGCAAATTATCCTTATGACACACTTTACACTTCCCCAGAGAATGATATATAGTAAGATATGTTTGGTATGTTTGGCGGTCTCCGGGCAGACGCTCCATCCACCAGACCACGGAGGCGGTCTCCGGGCAGACGCTCCATCCACCAGACCACGGAGGCGGTCTCCGGGCAGACGCTCTATCCACCAGACCACGGAGGCGGTCTCCGGGCAGACGCTCCATCCACCAGACCACGGAGGCGGTCTCCGGGCAGACGCTCTATCCACCAGACCACGGAGGCGGTCTCCGGGCAGACGCTCCATCCACCAGACCACGGAGGCGGTCTCCGGGCAGACGCTCCATCCACCAGACCACGGAGGCGGTCTCCGGGCAGACGCTCTATTCACCAGACCACGGAGGCGGTCTCCGGGCAGACGCTCCATCCACCAGACCACGGAGGCGGTCTCCGGGCAGACGCTCTATTCACCAGACCACGGAGGCGGTCTCCGGGCAGACGCTCTATTCACCAGACCACGGAGGCGGTCTCCGGGCAGACGCTCTATTCACCAGACCACGGAGGCGGTCTCCGGGCAGACGCTCTATTCACCAGACCACGGAGGCGGGCATGAGCATATTGGTTTGATGCTAATACACAATGGATCATGATCGGGTTGATTCTGGGATTCGAACTCACAATCAACGAATCATTTTGACGCCTTGAATTATGGTTAAACAAAGTCCCAGTGCAAATTTGTGAAACAATGTTGTCATCATCATTTTCACCTTCATCTTGTTTAATCTGTTTGGGTTCCATCAAATGAGATTCGCAATAATTGATAAAACAAGACCAAGTAATGTGTGATTCATGCCAGTGTTACGTCATTTGCCGGGAATACGTTTGTTTGTCG